CAAGAGCTGCAGGAACTTTTCMACTGGGGACACTGGCCAGGGTGAGCCAGTGCAACCTTTCTTTGCTTTCATTCCATGTAGCTTTAATGTGACATCCCTCATGCCCCTCCATTACTGATAACCCTGGGGTCCCATTKTCCCAGGGTGTTTTACTGCTGCTCTGGAAAGACCTTTTAACTTCAGCTATTTTTAGACAGCAACAGGCCTTTGTGCAGAGCTACCTGGGAAGGGAGCTGTGCACAGGGCTTCATCTCCTCTGCTCTTGCTGCTGTTTAGCAATAGATTTTGACACTGGGAGTGCATTAAAAATAATGTTCAGCCATTAATGTTGACAACAGAGCAGTAACACAGAGCCTTGTAAAGTCCCATCCCATCTCCACTGGCTCCCAGAGCCCACGGTGATGCAGCAGCTGCTGCTGCTCTGTGTGCAGAGAGGAGGTGTCCCAAATGAGTCCTGTGCCCTAAAAACACTGGCACCCACCCATCTCCCTCACCTGCAATGGGTGGCCACATTAACCTCAACAAACTTTAACTGGGGCTGTTACCACGACACAAACTGCCAAGGAATATCGGCAGCAGCTCTGTGTGAGCACACGGAAAGAACAGAGCAGCACCTTCATCATCTCTGCAATACAAATATGCACTCTTTAGCTTTTTCTCCTCAAGCCAYGGTTCTTTTATCAAACACCAGGACAAACTGCAGGGTAACAGTAATGCCCAAGCAGCCACCAAAAACCATGAACATCACAGCAGAGCAGATTCCCACAGTGCTGGGGAAGGACATGGGAACAGTGGGTAGGATGTCCTCTCCTTCATCCTCTGAAGGATTTACACGACTACCACCAAAGCAAAACACAACATGGCAGGCAGGCAGCRACAGTGGCAGAACATACGAGAGAGATCTTGGCCAGCAAATGTCCCTTTTCCTTCCATGATCACTGACAYCAGCAGAACCTGACAAATGACAGCCCTGTGCAATCTTTATTTGCAGCTAAAGCACATCCTTTCCACTCTTCCATCCTGGAAATGCCTGCAGCATCTCACACAGGGAGCTGGGAGTAAAAACATAACATTCCAGCTCCTTGCTCCCTAGCATAGCATTTATTTTGTTAAATAGAGTATGTGCTCTTGCAGCACATTAATATTTCAGACACAGGATTGCCTTTCTGAGCACACACATCTTGATCCTTAAGGCACTAATGTGCCAATAGTAAACAATGTTTATTATTCCTTCAGACAAGCCATTGCTTCACGCCATTTCCAGCCAGGGACAGCCTAAGTGGAAGCAGATGAACCCCAGCACCACTCCTGCCCATGCACACCAGCAGTATTGATGAGGCTGTCGATATTTCTTGCCTGCTTCGCTCCAGAGACAGAGTGAGAAATTCCAAAGAGCACTCAGCTCCAGAGAGGAGCCAAAGGGCACAGCACTTGATTTGTTCTCYCCAGTTTCCCCTGCATTTGAATTTTAATACACTTTGCCTCCCCTGCTGCTCCACCACAAACATTCAAGCATCATTCCCTCATCCCATAAGGTGAGATGACACTCCAGACCCGGCATCTTCCTTCATTTTAAACGGAAAAGCAAAGCACCATCTGAACACCTGAAGCAATAAAGATTATGGAGAAGATGGAGAAAAGCATTATAGCAGCTTGAGGAGCAAATGTGGTGATGAATGTGCAGTTCAGGGTGAAATCTGAGTGCAACTCTGCATTTGAGGTAATTTTCCTGCAGGATTTTCAAGGGGAAACATGAAAATAAATAGTAACATCTTCCTAATGGCTGCAAACACTTCCACATAGAGATGAGGACTCAGAGCTAAGAAACCTTAACTCTCTTTTTTCAGCTTTTTAATTTACAGAGCAGTTCACCAAAGTGATTAATACAATCTCTCTCAAAGACAGAGCTGAAAGGAAGTGCTAAATTACAGTGATCCAGAGAGAACCCAGCAGCAAAGAGGCATCTGGCTCCAGAGGAAGGAAAGATGCAGAAATACAGACAAGAAAAAACTCCTTTCTGGAGCACAGACTTCCCATGGCAYTGCAGCCAGTGCAGCACATTGCCCCTCACAACCAACCCTGGAACACGAAGTGTGAAACACCTTCCCTGCACTGGCATCATCCTGTATCTGCCAGCAGCCATCATCTGCAGCACAGGGATTCTTCATTCCTGCTCCCTTCTCTCCTCTCCAGGAAGAAAGGGGAGCCAGGGGATCTAAGGGACACTTGGCACAGCACAGCACACACTGAGTGCCACTCACCGATTGTCTCAGCTGCTTTATCCCAGAAGGACAAGTGGGAAGAGAGTTTCCTGATACTTCAGGGGACAAAATAAGATATTCATTTGCTTTAAGAATTAAAATATGCAAATGTGCACTCTKTGGGGCATCAACAGCAAGCAGTGAGATGTGTCTCATCTGTTACTCGTGGCTGTGCAGAGGCTGCCCAGCATCAGCCCCCTGAGACACACAGCACAGTGTGCACAGAGCTCATCAAGGCATTTCCTCATTTGGGAACCTCAGCACAAATCAACAGCCCAAGGCAGCAACGGCTCAGCTCTGTCCTGGGGTGAACCCTGGAGAGGAGGGCAGGACCTGGCAGATTCACCAGGATGGGAAGGGGAGCCAGGGTGCATCAGACACATCAGACAAAGCCAGAAACACAGTTGCACCAAGCACATGTAATAAAGGCAGTATTTACTGTATGTCRAGTTGGAAGCAAAAATATGCTGCAAACACTCTGATCCTTTTGTCATTTTTCCACTACACTTGCCCTTGGAAATAATATTGCTTAATACTTCGTGACTGACATAAAATTATTTTTTATTCCTGGCAAAGTAGCAGAGAAGAAAAGTTATTGGTTGGTGATTTGAAGAAGGAGATGAGACAGTGATTGGAACTGACTATTCCTGTTTGGCAAGATAAAAACATCCCCCTTTCATAGGCTGTTTCCCTCTATTTTCTTACAGAGAAATGTCTTATTTTGCATGCACAGAGAGCCAAGATTCCAGTCCCTGGCACAAGGGCTGTAGAGCTCACTTGACTGCGCTAGRGAGGCAGGGGATCAATTCCCTTTCTCTCCAGGCTTGCCCAGGAAGGAGAAGGATGCTGCTGACCAAAACAAAGCCAGACATCCCACTGACCAACACTGAGGACCCCCCGTGTCTGTGGGTACCCAGGGCGGCCACTCCCAGGGCTCCTGAAAATGGATTTGCAGGGAATTTATTTGCCCTATGAAAAGAATCAGTTTTTAACTATAGAGCACTTTTTTAAAGTAAGAAGGGGGAAAAAAAGAAAGTTGTGAAAATTGTGAGCAGCTACTTTAGTAATTAGAAACAGTGAATTTTACACTCCTGCTGTTACGGCCTGCAGCAAGGGCTGGCCACATCAGGCAGGATGCAGCCCCCACCTCCACCTCCCCAGAAAGCCTCAGGGCAGCTTTTCAGCCTCTCACTGTCCCTGTGGGCTCTTGGCACCAGGGTGCCAGAAGGTACCAGGAGAACAAGCATCACACTGGGAATGGTGACCAGAACAGACACCCCAAAGGGACACTGCTCCCTGTCAAGAACAGCAATGAGTGGCGCGGGCAGGGTCACTCCTGAGCTCGGGGCCACCAGCAGGATCCTAACGAGCCTTCTCAKCTCACTCACTCCATGGCTCTGCTCTGTGTTATGCAACCCACAGGCAAGGTTTGGGAATGACATTATTGTGCCGAACATCTACAGCGTCTGCTGGGATTTCACAGCGGATGACAAACAAGCACAACACCTCGCACTAAAATATACAACAGAAAACCGTGTTGTTTTCCACATTTCAAAAACATCTGCTATGAATTAATGATTCAGCTCATACCTACAATGACAGGCGCAGAGGAGTCGAGATTGGCTGAGCACCCTGTGGCTCACCAGGCTGCTCCTGTTTTTGCAGCAAAGCTTCTGCCTCCTGCAGACAAAAGTTGGCATCCGTGGTGCCTCATAAGGTCTGGAAGATGCCCCTAAATCTGCAGCCTTTTACCTCCCAGAGCTGCCAAGGATCTCTGCTGCACACAGAGGGCAGCCAGAGGAGMCCTTACAGTAGAGCTCTTAAGAATTCACCAAAACAGACACGTAAAGTGCCTTACAAGCAYACGGGCATTCTTGTTCCCATTGTTAATTCATGCGGTACAGCATCCTCAAATCATGTACATTAAGTTTCCCGTACGTTTTCCACTGGCCACACGAATGTCTCTCCTCGTGTATCAATTGCAAAAGTCTCAAGTCAAGCAAACATTTGGGGAAATTTTTCCAGGTCCCTGTGCACAAACTCTGCAGACATTGGCAGTCTCCATGCAACAAAAAGCAAACCACACCTTCCATGAGTGCATGCTCCCGGGAGGACAGTCCCTTCTGCACAGCCATCACACAGTGACCCTGCACCTCCTCTGCACTGGAACCTGAAAATCTCTGTTTTCCCATCAGGTGAACATCAAGAGCCCCTCACCGAGGCAGGATCTACACCCAGGCAGTGGGTTTCCTCTCCTGAATGATTTTACAGCATCATATTCCGCAATAATTTCCTCCTTGTTTAATAGGAATGCATTTAAGTTTGTTTTTAAGATACACAGTGCTGTTAATTGCTGTTCTAACATGTCTCCAATAACCCATCCTTTCTAATTATTCATTGCTTGCTACCTCTTAAGTGCTTAAATACATTCACAAATTCTAATCTATTCTTTGCCCAATCAGTGATTCCTACTCAGCAAACCACAGTGCAGCACATTTAATACAACCTGAGCTCATTTTGCTGCACTCTTAATTGCTCTCCTTGCTAACTGTGCTTCCTTCAGTCCTGCTCAAATCACAGGCTGACTTGGCAAAAAGAGCAGAAAAAGCCAGACACGCAGCAGACATCCCTGCAGTGACATCACTGACAGAGGGGATGGCACCAGTAAAATCAGCACTGGAATGCTGAGTGCTCAGAGCAGAACTGCAACAGGGGAGGGACAGAGCCAGAGCGTCCTACCTCRTAATGGGCCACGCGCTGCGACTCGGAGATGAGCTGAGCACTGCACACCTTGCAGTAACTTTCAGTGAACAGCTCCTGGTCGATGTCAGAGGATTTCATCTGTTCATGACAGAGAGAAGAGACAAGAAGCACAATCAGTTACAGAAAGTGTCTGCCAAGGGTCCTGGAGAGCCAAGGGCAAGGCAACACTTGAGCCGAGTTGAGCCGAGCAGYTCTTGTCACCGTGAGGGAATGAAACCAAAGTTATACAAATGTGACACACAGACGGTCCCCACCACATCCTCAGTASCTCCCATTTGGAGTCCCCAGGTTTGTGCACCAAGAGCCCATGCCAAGKGTTCACTGCTCACCCTGGGCATTGCCAGGTGCTGCTGGGGACCAGAGCGTGTCCCTTCTCTGCTGCAGTGGGAGCACTCAGACACAAGAGATGAGTGTGTCCAAACAACACCCGACCCCTGAACACCTCGAGGCACAGCCACAGCACARATTCCATGGCAACAGCACAAGGTCCATGGCGTGGCTGTCCTGCCATGGTGTCCAGTGTGAGCTGCTGAGAACGGCTGTGCTCATCACCTTTCCTATCCACAAACACTACACCCAGCACCAGCTGTCACAGAGACCGCYCGTGGCTCTAAACATGCTTGACCATTTGTTACACAACATAAAAGGCCTTATAAAGATTCTTACAGAAAAGGCAAACAGCAACACAACCTGGAAGAAGGCGGTTCTAAGCTGGAAGAGCACTCTGCTGTATTTCTCAGTTTAGATGTAGAAGAAAATTGTTTGGGTGATTTACTGGGCTATGCTGTTCTCCAGCAKCTGTTTAAATATTTATTTGTTCCCCAGAACTTTCTGTGAGGTCACCTGCACCTTTAAAACCAGCTTGCTGAGTGCCCTGGTTCACAAGCACACGTTGCTCCTCTGTTCACAGCCTCCTCCTTGTTTGCAGGTATACAGCCCTGAACTCACAGTCAAGGGGTGCATCAGGGATGTTGAGGCTGAGCACAAACTGAACCCAARCAGAGCCAGAAAACAACAGAAGCAGCCACACAGAATATCTAAAGCCAAACYCTATGCAAAGTAAGAGGGAAAAGAGAGGCTGGTGCCTTCTGACTAATGCCMAGATAAAATCTATTAATGCACAATCATAACAAACCTGAGCACAATGAAGACTGATAATACAGGTTTTATAGAGTTCATTCCACTGACTGGGAAGAAAAATAACATGGAAATGAACAGGCTATGAGATCTCATTAGCAGACAAAGTCAGATGGAGAAAGGCCAGTCKGTGCCGGGCTGTGCAGCGGAGCTGGAGGCAGTTGTGCTGAATCCCCAGGGTCCTGCCATCCCACGGTTATTGAGGTCCCTGCATATTTTATGAAAACAAGAAGCTGAGATAACACCAGAGACTGCCAGCCTGAGAGACCAGCCAGACCCCACTCCAGGAAAAGGTGTTYTGGTTTACCAGACAAAAGACATACATCTCAGAGCTCCTCTGCTGCTGCACTTGCTGTTTGTTTGATTCTGCAAAGATATTTGCTTGTTCTTTTCTTGCTATCTGCCTAGTTTTAATCTTCATTTACTCTGYCCAGAGAGATGTTGCATTGAGAAACTTTCAAAGACACCAAAAGACCCTTTTAGGAATACAAGAAGTGTTGCAAAATTGCATCAAAGGCAAAACAAAGTGGAAGGACGAAACCTCACTGAACTCGGACAGATTGTCACAAAGCAAACCAAAGAATCTCATTAAACCTGGGACAAAGAACACAGCTTTGTGCTGTGAGTGCCCAGCCTAACATCAGCATTTCCTCCTCTCCAGAAAAGCTCCCTTTCCTGCTCCTGTCTCATCTCAGAYACACTTTGCATTACTGCTCTGTGGGTTAATCCGAGCAGTGATTTATTAACTTCCTCTGCCTGCAAGTGTGATAAAGGGAGTTCATAAGCAATTAATATTTATGTATTTCTAATCACTTAATACCAGTGTGACTCTCGCTGCCCACACATGCCTAAGTGCTCCGGGACTGACCAGCCCAGGGCTGATCTCACCTCAGCCCATCTGTCAGAATTCAGCGTGAAGGGAGGGTGATCCATGGGCATGTTCTTGGCTCTGAGGGACACTCAAGGGGAACTGCAGGTGCTGAGCAGGGTGGCACTGACTCTGAACACCCTCAGGGACTTCTCTTGCTGAGAGCTGATAAATCCACATGGGGTTCATCACCTTGGACACAAACCATCACACTGAGCAGAAGCACTTGGTCTGCACACTGAGGTGTAAATACCTGAACCTSCCCGTGCCCTCCTCCTCAGCTGGGGACAGGACAGGGCCTCCACCAAAAATGCCAATCGCTTTGTCCCCTTCACCTGTGCAAACCTCACCAGGGCTGGAGCTGCAGCAGAAGGTGCAGATTTTGCTGCCACCACAGCACTCAGCCCCTCTCTCACAGCAGCAGCAGCAKCAGGAGCTGCTGGCACTGCCAGCAAACACTTCCCAGCGTGTTTCTGATGAGTGCTGCTGTAACCTCCTTTCCWGCAACCTTTCCTTAGCAAGACATTTCTGGTTTTACCGTTGCATACCCTATTCTCAAGTTGATCGCTCATTTTTTGAGCAATGARCTCAGTGAATAAGGGAAGAAGTTTTTTAATAACAGGAAATTCACAACTGGTAGCAACAGTTCTAGAGTACACAGTAAACACAAGTAAGGTAAGAGTTTTGTTAATTCCAAGTTTCACCTTTCACATCACTTCACAGATCARCCGTGGTGGTGTTCACTGTCAATTATTTCTGTTTCAACAAAAAGAAGAAACTCCTGTAATTCCTGTRCACATTTTTGTTGCCCAGTTGAGGATAAGGAGTACCACAGGAAGCACTTGACTCAGCAACTTGTTTTTCCAATCAAGAGGAAAGAAATTATGGTCCCTTATCTGATTTACTCTCAAAGGCCTTTAATCCCCTTTTCCAAAACTAACAGCTTCTGAAATCTCCATACTGGAGCACAAGAGAAGTGGTAACTGAGCACGTGCGTGAATGCCAAATGCAAACAAGAAACCAAAAATTAAATGTCCTGATATTCATGTTATGAATTATTTGTGGCTTTTGCTTCTGTCACTCTCCCGTGGATTAACATCTCGTGTAACACCTCCTGTTTTCGTCTGTTGTTTAATTTGTCTTGCAATAAAAAGAAAAAAAGCCTTTACTAATAATTAATGTGCTTTGAGCAACTCTGTCACTGCACKAACATTGAGGCATCTGAAGAAATGCAAAATTGCCTTTTGAAGTGCCTGATTTCCCAGCACAACAAGAAATGGCTGAGCTTGTTCCATGAGTGCAATTCTCCTCCTGCTTTTATCGCCTTGAGACGGTCTGGCTGCTGGAGGCCACAGCAGCCAGGAAAAGGGCTGGGACGGGGTAGCCCAAGGCAATTCTGRGCTGCTGCCTCTCCCCAGGGAAGGACACCCAGTCACAGCCAGGACAGAACAGGACAATCCATCCCATGCTGATGATGGGACTCTGCAGTCCAGCCTGAGCTGATGCAAGAGCATAAACTCAGCCATGAGATCTGCAGCCTCAGCCTGTACCACCACCCCAATTGCCCTGCTGTCCCTCCAGAGTGCCAGAGAGGTGGGGCAGGGCCCAGATTATCCTGTGTCCATGGTCGTGTGTCCCTGCCCACAACGAGCTCCCTGTGAGCCACATCTCCAGAGGACATGGGCACTGTTTTCAGATTTTTCCCATTCTCCTGCCAAATCAAAGATATTCTGTGTCCCTCCAGCAGTGCTGCATATCTGCCATCTCCACCGTGCTTCACCTTCCCTGCAGTTCTTGTTTGGTTTGGGGTTTATCCCTACTCCCTCCATTCCCTAAATCCTCCACAGAGTCGATTTGCTTCACTTCTGCACRGAGCCTTTGATGCATTTTGACATGCTTTATTGGAGCCTTGAAAATCAGAACAAGATTGTGTGTGGCATGAGCTGGGGAGCAAGAGAGATYCTGCACGTGGCTGCCCATGTGTCAGCACAGAGAGGAGAGGTTGTGGASAGCAACACGGGGGAGACAGCTCAGTGCAGATGAGGCTCAACCTCAGCACCCCAAACCTGAATTCACACAATTCCCCCCAGTGGGAGCAGGCAAAATGCTCCTTTACTGGGGTCAGCTTCTCGATAGAAGTGCCCAAGGTGCCAGGCTGGACAGGGCTTGGAGTAACCTGGGCAGGTGGAAGATGTTCCTGCCCATGGAAGGAAAYTGGAATGAGATATCTTTAARGTCTTTTCTAACCCAAACCATTCCAGSATTCTGTGTTTGCCAGGACTAAGAAAGGTGCACTCACACAGCAATAGGGCCTTCTCAATGCATGGATACGATGTTTTGGAAAAGAGCCTCTCAGCTTTCATGCCACTGTGGGGAGGAAGTTGCCAKGGATGTCTCACTGAATTCCCAAGAYTCATGAGCTCTGGGCTAGGGGGAAAGCTGCCAGATGTTCCCATCTCCTCACCTAAACATCAAGGCTACCACTCATAGAAATAGAACCAAGCAAGAAAACAGCCTGATGAACAGATCAGGAAAAGCAATGCCCTCAGGCAGAACAGCAGCAGGGCCAAGGCTCCAGCTGCACCTCTGCAGCCCCACCTGCACCACAGCACAGCACCCACCCGACGGGGCAAATGCACAAAACYCGAGCTTATGTGCGCCAGGAAAACCCAGCCGGTGACTTTTTGACCTCCTGCCTTGTCTGAAYTAGGAACAGGCAAAGGAAATTACAGGCACAGAGAGCCAAGGACAGATCTAGGCATGCAGCAGAGGCAAGCCCTTCGTGCCCAAACTGCCTCGGGGAGATGAGGGAAGGATGCTGCATAGTTTAGAGGGAGACAGACACCTTGCAATTCTGGGAGCAACATCCTTCCTTCTCTACAAATACAAGTATCCCATTAGGAACACGAGTTTTTCTAATTATTCACACTACATCGTGTAGCAGGGYTTAATTGCAAGCATGCTGCTTTGAATAAAAATACATTTTTTTAAAAAGAGATCTATATCTTATGACTTTTAATACAGTTTGTAGGAATTGAAGGGAAAGGAATCACATTTCATGCCTCAGGGTATC